TTGAGGACACAGCTAAGGCCAGCGTGCTCAAGGCGCGCTTCTTTCCTGAGGCCCCGTCTTCCCAGGAGTTTTGTGACCTGACTGAGACCAGGAGACGGGAGGTGGACTCCTGGCTGGCGGAAGAGTGGGAGGCATTCCCTGCTATCCAGGAGTTGGAGGTCCGGAGGCGAATCCTGGAGATGAGGGCGATCAGTGCACCGGGGGCAGATGGCATTTTGGCCAAATGCCTTCAGGAGTGCAGCGACAGCGTCACCCCGGTGCTCCAGGCTATCTTCGACGGCTTGATCCGCTCTGGCTCCCATCCAACTTCATGGAGGGCTGCCAAGGTGGTCCCGATCCCCAAGCCCGGGGGGGATCTGTCTGTGGCCAAGGGATATCGGCCCATCGCCCTCATTAACACCATGAGCAAGGTGTTAGAGGGGCTGGTCACAGACAGGCTCTACTTCATCGTGGAGTCGCGACAGCTCCTCAGCGACCATCAGCAGGGCTTCAGGCAGTCCAGGGCCACCGAGCTGGCGCTCTGGCGTTTCGTGAATGCTGCCTCCAGGGCGCTGCAGAGGGGACAGCGTTGTACTTCGGTGGCACTGGACATACAGGCAGCCTACGACTCAGTAGACCACACCGCCCTGCTGTGGAAGCTCATGAGGTGGGACGTGCCCCAGTACCTTGTGGCATGGATCAGGGGCTTCCTACACGATCGGGTGGCAAGCCTTCTTGTCAATGACTTTGAGGTTCAGGTCCCCGTCAGGGTGGGGGTACCACAAGGCTCGCCGCTCTCCCCCCTGTTGTTTACAATTTTTATTAACGACCTGGTGGAGGGGCTGGCGCAACGGATTTATGTGTCAGCTTTTGCGGACGACGTTCTCATCTGGGACATCGTCTCTTCATTTGAGGGCGCGCCGGGCAGGGTTCAAGCTGCCCTGGATTTTATCGAGGAGTGGAGTGCCACGTGGGGCCTGGTCTTCGACGCGGCCAAGTGCAAGGCCCTGGATGTGACCCTCCGGAGGAGCGTTGAGCGACTTCATCTGACGATGGGTGGCCGGGTCATCCCCCAAGTTGATGAGATCAAATACTTGGGGGTCTGGATTGACAGCAGGCTGACCTGGAGGAAGCACCTGGAGACTACATGCACCACTTGCCTCCAGCGTCTTCGCATTATCAGGAGACTCTGTGCTACGCATTGGGGACTTCATCCGGCGGTTGTCTCCACCTTAGTGGAGGCGACGGTGTTCCCGCGGCTGTGGTATGGGGTGACGGCGTGGGGCAGTGTGGTCAGGACGCAGGCCAGGCTGGAGGAGCTGGACAGGGTGCTCCGTCTGTCAGCGGTCATCACTTTGGGATTACTCAGGACGACGAGCACTGTGAAGGCAATCGCAGCGTGTGGTTGGTTGCCTGCCGACCTTCACATTCGTTTTGCCATCCTCCGTTTTGTGCTCAGGCAGCGGGTGTACGGCCGCACTTCCCTTGGCCTTGAGGACCACGGACTCTGCCATAACCGGCAGATCTCTACTGCGGACATTGCGAGGCGGGAGCTGGCGGCTCTCAGACGCACTCATCCTGAGGAGGCCGAGGGGTTTGAGCGAGTTGATCAGACCAGTTTTTGGATCCGCCCCCCTTGGGAGACTCCCCCGCCCATCCCCTGCGTCTTCCTGCCCAGGGATGAGGCTCAGGTTCGCACCGCCCGTTGCCTGGAGGAGGATGGGCTGTGTGTCTTCACAGATGGGTCGGTCCTGCCGGGGGGGGGCAACGGCGCGGCAGCCGTGGTGTTTCAGGGGGGCCACTCTGGGCCCTCTGAGGCGGTCCCCTCCCACACCCTTCTCCTCCCCATGGGCCCCCTTCTCGCCAGTACTGATGCGGAGGTGGGGGGCATCCGGGGGGCCCTTGGGTGGTTGCAGTCGATGCCGGGCCCGGGTAGGGCCACCATCATCACGGATTCGCAGGCCGCTCTATTGGCCCTGACCGGTTCCCACTGGCGGCACTGCCGTGAGTCTGTGTGGACTACTTTGGCTCTTCACCAGTCTCTCTGGGAGGCTGGGATTCAGGTGCGGTTCTGGTGGGCCCCTGGCCACAGTGGGGTGACTGGGAATGAGCTGGCGGACAGGGAGGCCAGGAGGGCGGCTCAGGACACCAGCCCTTCCCCGTTGCTCGACACCTGGTGCAACAGGCGACAGCTGGAGCGGGCGCTTCGTCGATGGTACCAGGACAGGGCTGGGAGGTAGGAGAGGACTCTGATGGGGACTGTCTTGGACCCCATGGAGGATTCGGTCTTTCGCTCAGATTTACGATGGACCCGCTCCCTTCCTTCACGTTACGCAGTGGCGCTGACGGGGCAGTTTTTGACAGGGCACTACCCCACGTGTGCCTACCTGGCGAGGTTCAAGCTGGCGACATCCCCCCTCTGCGACGTTTGTGGGTGCCCGGACACGAGGGCCCACCTTCTGCTCGAGTGCGCTCGCTTCAGCCACACCCGGGAGGGCCTCACCACCTGGCTTCGCGAGGAATGTGACGCGCTGACCCGACAGGCTGGGGGAACCTGCCCCGGGTGGGAGTGGGACTTCCTGACGGGCTCTCCCCGGGGCAGGCTCTGGCTCTCCAGGTTCATGTGTGCGACCAGGAGGGGGCGTGGGAGATGGGACGACCTTGAGGCCACGCTGCGTCGGGAGCAGGGGCATTCAGCGGCCGCGGGGAGTGCTGGAGCGGACAACTTGGACGCAGACGAGGACGATGACACCATTGAGGACGATGACGAGGATTGGGACGTACAGGCGGGCGGCTCGGAAGAACGTCGACTCTGAGTATGCCGCGGCTGTGGACGAGGAGGAGGCCGATGAGGCAGCTCTTCTTTTCTTTTATTTTTTGCCGGTTCGCTTTCGGATTCGTACAGAGCGGCTTAGGAGCCCTGTGCGTGGGTGTTGTTCTGGGGTTTTCTGGGGATTCGGAAGCTTCTTTTCTTTTCTTTCCTGGTGCTTTTATTTGTGTCGGGGTCGCCTCAGGAGTTCTGAGTGCGGGTGTCTTCATTGGGAGGGGGTGTTCCTGAATTGAGCCACGGACATGGGTTGGAGACAGTGCTGGAACAAAAACAGATCACGGTTTTCAGATGGCTCCACATGGCCTCAGATGCCGCGGAGCTCGGTTAATGTAATTAAACCGGATTTCAACAACAACAACACACACACACACACACACACACACACACACACACACACACACACACACACACACACACACACACACACACACACACACACACACACACACACACACACACACACACACACACACACACACACACACACACACACACACACTTTCTCGCCGCCCGTTTCCTGCTCGTTTTGGGCCCCCGGGCCCGCTGCCCTTTTACTGCGTTGCCATGGATTCTGCTGCCCCTTCGGCCCAGCCTGGGTGTCCTGCCGATGCCCAAGCCTTGGTGGTCGCTGCGGCACCCGTTGCAGAGGCATCGGGGGGTGCAATTACGTCGGCTTCGGCCCACGCGAACCGCATCCATGCCATGGTGGCTACCGCGCTGGCTGACCTGCGAGGCGCGACCAAGGCTACCTTGATTGAGGAGTGCCACATCGCAGGACTCCCTGCCAATCGCAATGACACCAAGCCGCAGCTGATGGCGCGCTTGGAGGCCCATCTGTCCGCCCTTGGGGCGGCGGCCGCGGCGGGTTCCGCGCCTTTGCGGCGCCCGCCGGTTCTGGCGCCTGCGCCGCTTGATTCCCACGGGGATTCTGCGCGCCGCGGTCGCCTGGCCACGGCCCTCTGTTCTGGCCGCCTGATCGCGCCCCATGCTTCGGGCGCTTCGGACTTTGACGCAGCCCATGGCTCCGCCGGCTCTCGGCGCTCCCCAAGCCCGTCATCGCCTCCTGGCAAGAGGCCCCGCGCGGATGCTCCGCCTTTTTCCCCGGGCGACCGGCTGCCCGACCCTTCCCCTTCCGCCCAAGCCCCCCCGCAGCCATCTTCCTCGATGCCCGCCCCCCGTGGCCGTTGCGCGCCGCACTTACCGGACCCGGTTGAAGCTCGCCGGCGCTCCCATGCTGCTGCCTCCATTCGCCCCGCCCGCCTCGATGAGGTGCTGGACCTCCAGGCGGAGATCCGGCGCCGGCAGGTCTGCCTTCGCGGCCTGCCTGACTCGCCCACCGAGACCCCCAGCTCGCTGGCGCAGGCGGTGGACCTCGTCGTGGCGGGCCTGGTCGGACGGAGGGGGCACGTGGCGGATGCTTGGCGGGTGGGCCGCTTCGCGGCGGATCGGCCGCGGCCGGTCATTTTGAGGTTCCATCATTTGGGGGATAAGGTGGAATTGCTTAAATCGAAAGGCCGATTGTACGCAGCCGATTGCCCGAGGGAATTACAGGGCCTGCGCCTGTACCACGACCTCTCGGCTGCCCAGCTTGAGTGGAAGCGGCAGCTGAGAGGGGCGTATGACAGGTTTGTGGGGGATAATGTTCGCGCCATTTGGTGCTGGGGCTATCGGTTATTTGCGTTTTTGGAGGGGTCGTGGGTAGAATTTGTTCCTACTGCGGTCCTAGTCCCCTAGCCTTTTGGCTATCAGCTCCTGGGACATGTTTTGCTGGGGTTTGTTGCTTCTGGTTCTGGTGGCATTCTGGGTTCTGGTGACCTTCTGGGTTTTGTTTCTGTGCTTCCTTTCTGTTTTGGTGTGTGTCTGCTTCTTGTGGTTTACTTTTTGCTGCGCTGTCTGCCTGGGGTTTTCTTGAGCACCCCTGCTCTTTCGCATTGGGAACACTTTGCGGTTTTCTCTTGGACATTCCCTGCTTTCCTTTCGTTTTGCTAGCTCTCTTGGGACATTGCTGTTTGGTTTTGATTTCTGCTGTGGACTCTAGTGCCTACATACCTCTGGTGCAAGGGCTTAGGCAGAAACATTGCTTTGTTCTGCATGTAATCATGGAATTACACACACACACACACACACACACCGCGCGTCCGACCTGCGTTTCTGGGCCCCCGGGTCCAGCCCCTTCGCCGGCGTTTTTCCCATGGACCCTGAGGCCGCCACCGCCGCTGAGGGCTCCCAGGCAGCGGGCCTGGCGGGTGGGAGTGGTGCGGCTTCGGCCGCTTTCGTTCCCGCCCACCACCCGCCGCTTGATGACCGAGAACGCGCCGCCGCCGCCGCCTTCGTGGATCGGCGGATGCCCGCCATTCAGGGGGCCTCCAAGGCGGAGCTTCTTCGGCTGTGCCATGCGGCCGGGTTGCCCGGCAACAACAACGACACGAAGCGCAAGCTAACGGCCCGCCTCGCGGCCGATCTGAGGAGGCGCGCGGAGGAAGCGGTGCGCGCGGATTCCGCCGCGCGCCGCGGCCATTTGGGCCGGGTAGCGGCGCCTAGCGCCTCCGAGGGCCAGGCCCTCCTGCCTGCGTCCCATCCCGCCGCTCCCCCGGACGGGCCGAGCGGGTCGACCGGCCCTGGATGCTTTTCCCAGGAGGCAGGAGCGGCCCCCGCCTCCGGCTCCCGCGGCTCATCGCCGGTTCCGCCGGCGGGCAAGCGCCCCCGCGCTGATGCCCCCCCTTTCCTTCCATCCGCGGCACCCTACCCGGCTTCCCCCGCCACTGCTGCACCCTCCGCGGGGACGATCGGCGCTGGGCGCCACCGACCTGCTCGCCCCGCTGCCTCCATGTCCGACCCGGTGGATGCCCGGCGCCGGTCCCATGCTGCCGCTTCGGCGCGGCCGGCTCGCATCGACGAGCTCCTCGAGCTCCAAGGGGAGCTGCGGCGTTGGCAATGCTGCTTGCGCGGCCTCATGGACTGCCACGACGAGACGCCGGAGGAGCTCCTGGCGCGCGTCGAGGTGGTGGTGGCGGAGCTGGCGGACCCGGACGCCGGGGCGGTGGAGGTGTCCGACTGTTGGCGGGTCGGGCGGTACGCGCCGGAGCGCCCCCGCCCTGTCATCATCCGCTTTCGGCGGTTGTGTGACAAAGTGTCCGTTCTGCGGGGGAAAGGGGTGCTGTACGGTGACGGCATTAGTGATATCCTGAAAGAGTGGGTGGAGGAGAGTGGGACGCCCCTCCGGCTGTACCACGACTTGAGCGCGGGCCAGCTCGACTGGAAACGGCGGCTGAGGGGGGCGTACGATGCGTTCCTTGAGGCCCGCATCCGAGTGGTCTGGAGGCGGGGATACCGGCTGTTTGCCCTGCTTGAGGGGGTGTGGGTAGAATTCTACCCACAATCGGCCCTTGTACCTTAGGTACTTGGGCCTGCTGTACTTTATTGAGCATTTTGGGTGTGCTTTAGTCTTTATACTTCCGGCTTTCGTTTTGGGTCTCGGTGGTGACTTTTTGGGTTTCTCTGTTGTTTGACTTTTGCTGGTGAGGGGGTCTCTTTTGCGCACTTCCACTTAGTACTTTTGCTTGGTGCCTGGGTTGGTCCCTGAAGGTTGGACTCTTTGCTAAATCAATTGGACACTAGCTTTTGACACTCGATGCGCGGAACAGTGAACACTTCCTGTGCTGTCCCAGGGCACCCCCTCTAGCTCCCGTCTTGTGTGAGGAAAAGGGGGATTTTAGCCCTGCATGCATGTGTAATTGACATTTGACACACACACACACACACACCGCGTCCGACCTGCGTTTCTGGGCCCCCGGGTCCAGCCCCTTCTCCTGCGTTTTTCCCATGGACCCTGAGGCCGCCACCGCCGCTGAGGGCTCCCAGGCTGCGGGCCTGGAGGGTGGGATGGGTGCGGCTTTGGCCGCTTTCGTTCCCGCCCACCACCCGCCGCTTGATGACCGAGAACGCGCCGCCGCCGCCGCCTTCGTGGATCGGCGGATGCCCGCCATTCAGGGGGCCTCCAAGGCGGAGCTTCTTCGGCAGTGCCATGCGGCCGGGCTGCCCGGCAACAACAATGACACGAAGCGCAAGTTGGTGGCCCGCCTCGCGGCCGATCTGAGGGGGCGCGCGGAGGCAGCGGTGCGCGCGGATTCCGCCGCGCGCTGTGGCCAATTGGGCCGGGTAGCGGCGCCTAGCGCCTCCGAGGGCCAGGCCCTCCTGCCTGCGTCCCATCCCGCCGCTCCTCCTGACGGGCCGCGCGGGTCGACCGGCCCCGGATGCTTTTCCCAGGAGGCAGGCGCAGCCCCCGCCTCTGGCTCCCGCGGCTCATCGCCGGTTCCGCCGGCGGGCAAGCGCCCCCGCGCTGATGCTCCCCCTTTCCTTCCATCCGCGGCACCCTCCCTGGCTTCCCCCGCCGCTGCTGCACCCTCCGCGGGGACGATCGGCGCTGGGCGCCACCGACCTGCTCGCCCCGCTGCCTCCATGTCCGACCCGGTGGATGCCCGGCGCCGGTCCCATGCCGCCGCTTCGGCGCGGCCGGCTCGCATTGACGAGCTCCTCGAGCTCCAAGGGGAGCTGCGGCGTTGGCAATGCTGCCTGCGCGGCCTCATGGACTGCCACGACGAGACGCCGGAGGAGCTGCTCGCGCGCGTCGAGGTGGTGGTGGCGGAGCTGGCGGACCCGGACGACGGGGCGGTGGAGGTGTCCGACTGCTGGCGGGTCGGGCGGTACGCGCCGGAGCGCCCCCGCCCTGTCATCATCCGCTTTCGGCGGTTGTGTGACAAAGTGTCCGTTCTGCGGGGGAAAGGGGTGCTGTACGGTGACGGCATTAGTGATATCCTGAAAGAGTGGGTGGAGGAGAGTGGGACGCCCCTCCGGCTGTACCACGACCTGAGCGCGGGCCAGCTCGACTGGAAACGGCAGCTGAGGGGGGCGTACGATGTGTTCCTTGAGGCCCGCATCAGCGTGGTCTGGAGGCGGGGGTACCGCCTGTTCGCGCTCCTTGAGGGGGTGTGGGTGGAATTCTACCCACAATCGGCCCTTGTACATTAGGTACTTGGGCCTCTGTACTTTGTGCATCTGGGTGTGTTTTTGGGTCTTTTTGCTTCCAGCTTTCGTTTTGAGTCTTGGTAGCGTCTTTGGGGTGCAAATTCTGTCTGAAATTTGTTGGTGAGGGGACTTTTTCTTGCGACCTTTTCTTCAAAATTCTCTTTGGTGGCTGGGTTGGTCCCTGAAGGTTGGACACTTTGCTAAATCACTGGACACTAGCTTTTGACACTCGATGCGTGGAACGGTGAACAATTCCTGTGCTGTCCCAGGGCTCCCCCTATAGCTCCCGTCTTGTGTGAGGAAAGGGGGATTTTAGCCCTGCATGCATGTGTAATTGACATTTGACACACACACACACACACACACACACACACACACACACACACACACACACACACACACACACACACACACACACACACACATACACACACA